TACGAAATTATGAATTATGTTAATGATTGCAGTGATGTTGATATTTTTAATGACGTTAAATTTGATGGCAATCAGAATCATAATATGTATTTATATTCGAGGAACGTTACAAAAACACAAAACAAAAACACGATAGGAGTGCCATGTATTGGAAATGTTGACATATCACTTCAACATATATAAATATAAACTTTTTTTTTTAACCAAGCAAAGCCCACTGAGATGTTAACGTATTTATCAGAAGCGACCTGGCCACAAATGATAGCTCAACAAAGTGGCTTATCACGTGGAAATTTATCGCAGGAAAATAATCTGAACGCATGTCTCTAATTTCGATAACAAATGCCGTCACAATAAAGAAGGTCACGATTAGTGCAGTATGTGCATATTTATTATAGCTAACATTATGACGCTGTTGCACGTGATTTTACGTCTGCTGCCGCTGATAAAAATGCATGGCAAGGTTGCAACGAGAGGCGGGGGCCATCAATCCATCCAGATAGTTCGGTTTGAGGAGCAGATTAATTCTAGCTTCTCATTGCAACACCTTTCCTGAAGTTTAACGCGAAGGCTTTCGCGACCAAACTATTATTCACAATAAAGACGTTTTGGTGGGTTTGATCGCATAAATATGCATGTGTCGTTGACTCACCACCCGACAAAGCCAATCATTAAGGCTTGTCACGTGAACCAAACCTGGCAAATTAGTTACTACTTCGGCACACCGGTGTGTTGGAGAGTAAAAACGCAGCATTTACAATTGGAGTACGACGTTTCGCTGGTGATTGGAACCAGCTTCATCGGGCGATTTTTGCCCAGCATTGAATAGCGAAACTTTACCTGAAGATTTCCAGTGAGTCAGCTTCCACCACCACCACAACCACCACCACAACCACGTGTTGAGTTGTGGGGTAGCCGGTGCCAAACTCCCAGGGCCCTCCACGTGTTAAACATAAACACATCCTCCTGGCCTCCGTCATGAACTTTCCCACACACGGATTCGACCCGTGGTAGCCTCTGCGTTTTCTTCTCTGTGTTGAGCTTTTAGCAGTAGTCTGGATCGACTTGGTCGATATTAATTGATGATGATGCATTGGAGGAGGTAATCTTGGCACAAATCCGAAAATGTGAATGCAAGGTCTACGCGAACAGGGATGCTTTAGGAGTTTCCTTTGCAAAGCATAGCTTGCCAAGCTGTTATGAGAATCATGTAAAAAAACGTAATTATGTTAGAAAAGGTTGGAATATTAAGCTACGCAAAAATGTACATTAATATGAAACATTACGTAATGCAGTTTATAAATCAGTAATATGAGCCTTAGTCATAGAAACTAAAACTTTCACGTAAGATGCAGTGTTGAAATCAGGCATGAGGTATGGTTTATACAATTTCACATTCAAGCTGTCCGAATAATGAAACCAATTTTGCATGAATAACTGACTTTTGGAAACATTTTTGACGCGGCCAAATGGCTTAGAGGTCAGGGTACTGAGCTGGCTCTACTGATACTGAGTTCGAATCCAGGCCACTGCCTGTGATTAAACCGGGCCCGTTTAAACCCGTAAGCAATGAGTGCGCAAAAAAAATCACATTAACTTGGGTTTTGCGTGTAGTTTGGCTTAAATTCCAACTCCGAAAGTAAAACCAAAATTATTGGTTCGATTGTTACGTGATATATATATTCTTGGTTCTTTCGGTAAAGTCACGTAGAAGGGAAACAATAAAATAATACAAATAAAACAATAAAATTCTGACGACGTTTCGACTGCAAAACAAGCAATCATCATCAGGTGTGAAAACCACAACAAGAAATTTTGAAAAAAGTGGTGTTTTTTTAACGTTAGCACCACGGATAGCGATTTGACAGTGATATATATGTTATATATAGCACTCTCTGTAGCAGAGTGAGTGGGGAAGGTGGCTGCCCCGACTGTACAAACCAGAGGTCAATTGAAGGGATCTCAGAGGTGGCTCTGTGCTATCTACTTCAGCGAGATGTTACCTAACAAATGGTTGCACAACTCTATGAGACTTTCCTGGCTCCTAGATGTCGTGATGCATCACTGACAGCACCATTGATTGGAATACATTCACATCGACTACTCCAGAAAGCCAAATGCCGTTGAAAAAAATGTAATAAACCAACAAACAAAAGCACCCATCACTGCCCTCCTGGATCAACAGTTTTTTTCAGAAGTAATTTCTAATGCTGTAAAATCCCTGCCACTATTGTAAAACATTAATTGCCGATTATTTTTGTTACACCACAGTTGGTGTAAGGGGCCGTCCATAAATGACGTCACGCAGCTGGGGGGGGGGGGGGTTAGACATTTGTGACGATGTGTGATGAGGGGGGGGGGGTGAGAAATGTGACGTCACATAAAAATGCACAACTTTAAATAAATATAGACAACAGGTTATACTTAATGAAATAGACTTTTTAATAAATGTTTTCTCGTACAACATCAGAGTGCAGCGCCACGTTAAATACGCACTACAATGACAATAGTTTAACGCGATTTGAAGCATGTTTAATTTTCAAAATGGAAATATGTGTGGTTTTTTTTTGGGGGGGGGCAGAGATTTGTGACGTCATATATGAGGGGGATCTGACTTTTTGTGACGCCGTGTGACGAGGTGGGGGGGTCAAAAATCGTCCAAAATCGCGTGACGTCATTTATGGACGGCCCCTAAGGACGAGCAACACTGGACTTGCATTTCCTGAGGTCAGCGGATCAATCTCCAGACACGGCAGTTCTTAAATCCCTCCACCTATATCCAAAGAGCAGAATTAATGTGGTTCACCACAATGAGGCCGCGTGTGGTGGGGTAAAATGTGAGTTCTGGCACCTCTTCCCAAACGTCTGGCCAACGTGGAAGAGTAGGCCAAGCACCATTGTAGAGCGGAGCCCCCTAGAACTTCTTCAAATGGAGGCCCAGCAAAGCCGGGAGTGAGTAATTGCAGGGCTGAGATTTTTAATCTTCACATTTTGTGGTCAATTTAACCTCGGAATAACAAAGGGCTGTGGTTTTATCAGCCTATAACAACTATTGTAATAATCTCTACCGCTATTGTTATTCAAAATGTGCTGGACATCTTTTTCGAAATGTTGAAACGAGAGTCAACATTTCATTGGGCCGTCCCTTCTCAGGCTCGGCAGAGGCTGATAACTAACGCATCTGTTTTGTTTACCATGTAGTGCCTCTCCGCCTGTCTGTCTCGTGCACCGTTGTGTGCTCTTGTGTTAATGAACGCAGCGAGAGGGTCAATTGATTTGGACAATGAACGCCGCTGCATCCCTCGATTAATTAAGCAGCGAAGTGAAATAATTTGGCTAAACGCAGCCCAACGTTTACCCCGACGAAACTGCTTCTCTTTTGCACGCAACCGTGCGTCCACTTGTCAAACGTTTTACTCAACCAAGCGATAGAGGACCGGTGTCACGCATATTTTTTTTTTGCAAGCGGCATTGAAAAACAGAGAAAGTGCACAGACAGAGCCGTCCCTACGGTAGATGGCGAATCGGGGCGACTGCTCCGGGCCCCGCGCTTTGGGGGGCCTTGCGCTTCGGACGTCACGGTGTCAGATGTAAAACTTCCAATTGAGGCTTAAGGCGTCGGGGGGCGCCCACACGGTGGGGTTTTGCCCCAGGCCCCGCAACCACCCCCCACCCACCCCACCCCCATGGACGGAACATGCCTTTACATAAAGATTACAATTATTTAATTTTAGTTTGTGTCGTTTACGATATAGTTTTATATGTATGGATGTTGAACATTGATCACAACGTACGTAGCCAATCGGAGATTTTTGCATTGAACTCGGACCTATATCTGACAGCGAGGGTCCTTGCGTTCTCTTCCGCTGAACCGCAATACCTTGCTGGCCTCGTTAAGGAGCATAACACCATCACGTGAACTCTGATCATACTCGCAGCAGCGGCTTTTGGCTCGCATTCAGACGCGCTTCTGCGGCCGTCTGGAACGCTCTTCCTTCTGATGTTAGGAAGCCACTGGAGCTATGCTCTTTTAAATCTCGATTGAAAACTCATTTATTTCGAACTGCTTTTTGTGTTTTGTTAGGAGTTGTCCTTCCCTCACACCTCCGATTAGCTCAGTTAGCTACGTACGGTGCGAAAGAAGTTCAACATACATCCATACAAAGATGGGGCAGTTCAGCAGCATTGACTGAAGCAAGCCTGCCGCTGCTGATGAGGCGCCGAATGTCAAAACCGGTTGAGAGGTCGCTCGCGTTGCTGCTGAAATTACGCACTCTCAGAAGGATGCGTGGCTGGTGCAATGTGTAAAATGTTTTGCTTCTTTTACATAGAAGGACAAAAATGACGAGTTGGTACATTATCCGCATGTATATAGTGACTTCAGAACGAGTATGCTTAGGCTTGGAGGAATCCGATGAGCTATGAAGCTCTCTTCTTTTTTTTGTAACAGACGTCCGATTCTGTGCGGTCCAGCAAGTTCTTACATTCTCATTAAAAAACAAAAAAAAGGCGAGCCTCGACAAATTCAAACGAATTGACCACCCAAAAACAGAAGGTACCTTCGGGTGGCAACCGCCTCCGCCGAAGTGAACTCCCAAAACTCCCCGCGCGCGCGCGCTGTTTCGTCGTCGCCGCCGCTGATATTTATTCTTCTCGCACGCACGCACGCCGGCACGAGCTCCCCCCTTCTAGGGGTGGTGGGGGAGGTAGCCTTTGATGTCCCGGACCAACAACAACGGCGCGGCGTCTCGGGGAGGGATTACAACGTCCCAGGAGCACGCACTTCCGGCCGAGCTTTGCACCGAATAGGGGGTCTCGTTACGACGCGTGGTTGCTCCGCCGATCTCCCTCCGCTGCGCTGTCAAGCATGAAGCACCGAGCGGGGCTTCTTAACAGGGTGCGCGCTGGTGGTGTGGTGGTGGTGGTTGATGGTCGTGGCGGTGGTGCCTTTTTTTAAAAAAGGGTTGCCCGCTGCCGATGTGTGTGTGTGTGGCTTGCGACTGAACGGTGATGGAACCTGCACACAGCTGTGTTCCTGAGCTCTGTGCAGGATCCAGAATCAGAATCTTTATTTAGTCTCGAGGAGGAATCCGATGGAGCTATGAATATTTCTATTCCCCGCGGGTGCCCGGTATGGGGCGGGTCAGTGAGTTACAACAACAACAAACAAGTAGAAAAAAAACGACTGGAGTGTAAAGTTGAGAAAATGGTAAGCAAGTCACTAAAACACACATAAATAAGTGATGCATACATTAATTCTATAAGTCCTCTTTATCAAGGAGGCAGCAACAACAGCAGCACAGTCCCACAACACGCCATGATAACGCCACGCGTCAGTCGCTCGATAGAGTGGCATATTAACATTGAACTATCGACACACGGATTATGAGCAAAGATCCAAATCGCGTTTGCAAATGCGACTGTATCTAGCGCTGATCTTCTGCTTCACTCTACTTCTTTGAAGGAAGATTGACACTTCTCAGGGAGGAAAGCAAGGTTGCTGCTCTGAAACGATGACGCTGCGATGGCAAAGGCTGCGTCACCTTTAACGATTCTTGTTTCTCGGGATATTTAAACGGCAATTCGATGGACGCCTTTTTAGGTTTCTTGGGCTTGACAATGGGGACAACGATTTAGCTGAGCTTAGCAACAGATTTGCCAATTAGGATGTGATTGGTTGAGCAGGGCCCCGATGAGGATTTCTTCTCGCGTCCAGTGATGTGCGATTGGATTTTAAGAGGAGATCGCAACGGTGGATCCACAGCTCGCCGCAACTGCTGCACGCGCCGGGAGCCCCTCGGCAACTTCACACGGCAGAGAAAGCGCAGCGAAACGTCGGACACCGCGCCGAACGACGGCATGGCGCAACCCGAAAACGCACCGGAGGGCTTCACAGGAGCACGCGTAACACAGCGATGCCTTGCTGTTTATCCGTTTCACCGTTTGTGCCTTTCGTGTCTGCTTCTAAATATAAATTAACTATAACTAATGCCGCCGCTGGCAGACAAGTCACTGGCGTTATTTTAAATCAACATTGGAAACTCATTTCTTTGAAATCGCCTTTTGTGTTTGGTTTTGTTGTCCAGCCGCACCTCTGATTGTCGCGGTCGGCGACGTATGGTGCGAAAGAAGTTCAACATACATACATACATGCGGAGCTCTTCACAGCTCCCTATACAATTGCCTTGTCTCCCACTTTCGCACGCCCGCCAGGCATCCTGAAAACGTTGTAAGTATCCACGCTTTACCCGCCCCCCCCCCCCCGCCAGATACCTGCTTACCGATGGTCGACTCACTTATTCTGCTGGGTGGACAGAGACGAAGGGAGAGTTTAAACACACGCTCATTGTATGCACTGTACATATGTTGAACTTCTTTCATACCGTACGTAGCCAACCGTGCTAATCGGAGGTGTGGGAGAAGTGCGCGGGGGGAGGGGGGGCAAGTCGGGTGGTGTAGTTGTAACACCTGTGGCTCACAGCAGGAAGGGGTACAATGAGTTTGATTACCGAATGGTGGCGTCTTTCTGTATGAAGTGTGTAAGTTCTCCGAACTGCTCTGCACGTGTTTCTTCCGGTCTTCCTGGCGTCGTCCCACAATATAAAATAAAAACACACACAACGTAACAGTTATGGCCAAACCCATCACAATTTCAAACATTACCATGCAAATGACTGAACTGGGATTATGCATTGTAGCATCGCCACCCGACTGTCTGGACCCTGCTGAAAAATAATATGTCCTGGGTAAAGAAGTATAATAACAACAACAAAAATAATTACCCGCTGCACCATCAGATGGAACCGGTGACCTCTGGATATTAATTCCGGTGTACTGATCATTATACCATAACAAATATCAAAGTGTTGGCAAGGAGAGAAAAATAATAATACTCGACTCAAGGCGGAATGGGCCAAACATCGCAAGAAGGACCCTCCTGGAAAAGTCAAGAGGAAATTAATCATTAGTGCACAACATGTTGGTAAAACTACGACAGAATTATTAATCCATATAAACATGTTAACAAATGAATACAGGCAAAGATACCTCGATAGCTGTGTAGAACATTGGGGCAAGTGCTGTTAGCGAGCTCCATTCAAGGTATGTACTCTGCCCAAAACACATGGTGTGGCCAGAACCACACCTGGCAATGTTGACTCTAAAGTGCAAATGTTTACGAATTGCACCAGGTACTCATATATGGCTGAGCCGACCTAGGGGAGGCCCAGTAACGGTTCACATAATTACCATTCGTGTTCGCCCTCTGATGTGTTTTTGAGTTGTAGTTGAACACACATCCAGTGCTCTGTACTGCACAACCGTGATACTCTGCCCAGTAATATCAGCTGTAGCTGGGAATCGAACTCAGGTCGTCGGGTTCGTAGTGAAGTGAGCTAACCACGACACGCGCGTGGACCACACACTCATTCTCTCACACACACACACATTCTACGAGCAACGTTTTCCGAAGCAAAATACTTCTCAACTGCAGATGTCTCGGATAATTTGGCAGCTAATTTAATAAATTATTATACCACGGTAGTGAATGTCATCATGACCCAGAAGAGGATCACATTGGCCCCTTCACGTGTCCACAAATATTATGTATTATTGTTGTTCCAATTGTTTGCTTAGGCCAGCGTCGCTGATTCTCACCACTCTTTGTTTTCACGGTAGGTGACGGCGATCATTGCTAAGCATATTCCGAATACGATCATTTCAAGTGAGAAACTGAGCCTAATTGCCATCCACAAAATCTCACCCACAGAGGGATTTGGTTGGACTATGGCAAAAAAAGACAAAACCACTTTGGAAAGTGGCCGGGTGGCCCAGAGGTCAGAGCTCTGACCTGCCACCACTGAGAACTTGGGTTTGAATCCAGGCAGCTGCCTATCATAAAAAGGGCTTCTTAAGTCTAGTGAATTGATGGTGGCAGCCCAGTCACCAATGAATGCGGAATTAAATCAACCGCGTTCAAGGATGGTTCTCCACTTATTTTGTTTGGGCAAAAATGTCCAGCTACTGATAATTAGATGTCGCTTTCACTGTCCACTTTGTTGAACCGATAGGTCATTTGAAGGTGACCTCTGAGGTAGCCCCAGTTTATGTGGGGCCCCCGTTTTGTAAGACGGCGGAACGGGTCGCCATCGCTCTGCGACAAATCTGGATGGATTTATTTTATTTTTCGTCTCGTGGCACGACAGCAAGAGCGCGGTCGGAATACATCTGGGGGGAGACATATAAAAATGCGTGTTTTTTTTTAATCGCGTTTCGGATTAGACATTGAGGGAAGAGCAAAACGTACTTGAGAAATAATGGCCATAAGAAATGAGTCGCATGAAATGTGTCATTCAACTTTAAATTGCTTTTTCGCAGATGCCATTGATGAGCGAGAGATGAGAGCGTTCAGACACTAAGCATTCTGCTCGTATTGTTTTTTTTGTTGGCAATTGTAACGAATATCCATAGTACAAATAATCATCATCAAACTCCTTCGACAACCGAAGTAAATTCACCCTGGAAAAAAAATGCCATATTTTTGAATAAGTTAATAATAGAACGAAGGAAAGCAGAGGGTGGGCGGGACGGGGCGGGGGGGAATTGATGTGCGAGGTGTCTTGTGTGATGTATTATTTACGTGCCGTCAGTAAGACAACTCATCTGTGACTGACCGCGCCGTTGGTGCGATGCGTGCAAGGAAAAGGGGGTAGGGGAGAAAACAAGGAAGATGAATCGTGCGCACGCGTGGATTCTGTACAGCCTTTCCAACATGCGTTTTTTTTCCCCCCTTAATGCAGCATTGTTGTTTTTAGGAATGCGTATCACCTATCACAATTTTACTAAAAATTTTATTTATTTATTTTACCAGGTAATGACCACTGAGCTATGAAGCTATTTTTGAGAAGCGACCTGGCCACAAATGATAGCTCAACTTAGTGGCTTGCATCGTGAAAATGTAAAGCAGCCAAATACTCTAAACGCATGTTTTTAAATGTGGAAGAAAAAACCGGGGGACCCGGAGAAAAATCCACGTGACCACGGGGAGAACATACAAACTCCGAATATACAGGCGCCAGGGTCGGGATCGAACCCACAACTACCTGAATACCAGGCGAGGTAGTTAACATCTCGCAACCGCGGGGCCTACAGTGAGGGAAAAAAGTATTTGATCCCCTGCTGATTTTGTACGTTTGCCCACTGACGAAGAAATGAACAGTCTATAATTTTAATGGTAGGTTTATTTGAACAGTGAGAGACAGAATAACAACAAAAAAATCCATGAAAACGCATGTCAAAAATGTTATAAATTGATTTGCATTTCAATAAGGGAAATAAGTATTTGACCCCTCTACAAAACATGACTTAGTACTTGGTGGCAAAACCCTTGTTGGCAATCACAGAGGTCAGACGTTTCTTGTAGTTGGCCACCAGGTTTGCACACATCGCAGGAGGGATTTTGTCCCACTCCTCTTTGCAGATCTTCTCCAAGTCATTAATGTTTCGAGGCTGACGTTTGGCAACTCTAACTTTCAGCTCCCTCCACAGATTTTCTATGGGATTAAGGTCTGGAGACTGGCTAGGCCACTCCAGGACCTTAATGTGCTTCTTCTTGAGCCACTCCTTTGTTGCCTTGGCCGTGTGTTTTGGGTCATTGTCATGCTGGAATACCCATCCACGACCCATTTTCAATGCCCTAGCTGAGGGAAGGAGGTTCTCACCCAAGATTTTACGGTACATGGCCCCGTCCATCGTCCCGTTGATGCGGTGAAGTTGTCCTGTCCCCTTAGCAGAAAACACCCCCAAAGCATAATGTTTCCACCTCCATGTTTGACGGTGGGGATGGTGTTCTTGGGGTCATAGGCAGCATTCCTCCTCCTCCAAACACGGCGAGTTGAGTTGATGCCAAAGAGCTCCATTTTGGTCTCATCTGACCACAACACTTTCACCCAGTTGTCCTCTGAATCATTCAGATGTTCATTGGCAAACTTAACATGGGCATGTATATGTGCTTTCTTGAGCAGGGGGACCTTGCGGGCGCTGCAGGATTTCAGTCCTTCACGGCGTAGTGTGTTACCAATTGTTTTCTTGGTGACTATGGTCCCAGCTGCCTTGAGATCATGACAAGATCCTCCCGTGTAGTTCTGGGCTGATTCCTCACCGTTCTCATGATCATTGCAACTCCACGAGGTAAGATCTTGCATGGAGCCCCAGGCCGAGGGAGATTGACAGTTCTTTTGTGTTTCTTCCATTTGCGAATAATCGCACCAACTGTTGTCACCTTCTCACCAAGCTGCTTGGCAATGGTCTTGTATCCCATTCCAGCCTTGTGTAGGTCTACAATCTTGTCACTGACATCCTTGGAGAGCTCTTTGGTCTTGGCCATGGTGGAGAGTTTGGAAGTTGATTGATTGATTGCTTCTGTGGACAGGTGTCTTTTATACAGGTAACACGCTGCGATTAGGAGCACTCCCTTTAAGAGTGTGCTCTTAATCTCAGCTCGTAACCTGTATAAAAGACACCTGGGAGCCAGAAATCTTTCTGATTGAGAGGGGGTCAAATACTTATTTCCCTCATTAAAATGCCAATCAATTTATAACATTTTTGACATCCGTTTTTCTGGATTTTGTTGTTGTTATTCTGTCTCTCACTGTTCAAATAAACCTACCATTATAATTATAGACTGATCATTTCTTTGTCAGTGGGCAAACGTACAAAATCAGCAGGGGATCAAATACTTTTTCCCCTTACTGTATACGGGTCAGAACCACACATGGATCAAAAACACGGACATTAACAACGAAAATAGAATATCTGCAGATAGAAAGTATGCAAAAAACTCAACATTTTATTTTAATAAAGCATCGGTGCATGCTTGGAATTACATTGATATATCTCCACACCTCCGATTTGCACGGTTTGCTATGCACGGTGCAAAAGAAGTTGCACATACATGCATACATACAGAGCCAGAAAGAGGAACACTTACTTGGATTTGAGAACATACACCGGTTCAATATGTTATTCGCACTGGGAAGAAAAGTAAGTGGGGTTTGACAGGAAACATTGCTGGCAGCGATGATGGACGATGGTCATCATTTCGTGATGGAACAGCAGCTACGGATTGGAACGCGTTCACGAGAACGTCAAATACGGAGATGAAGGGGTAAAATCAGTTCCTATATACATACATAGCCTAGGTATGTATCTAAAAGATAAGAGCTGGATGTAAGTGGCTTCCAGGAACAGTCATCGATGTGCTTTTAGCCTCCGAAAATCGATGTCATCGTCATTATCAGCCATGATCAATCCACTGCTGTATGAAGACCTCAGAGCTATTTCATTCTGTCACGGTTCCAAGATTAAATAATCCAGCCAGGGCACCTGCTAATGAGCTGGATTCATCGCTCTATCTCCTTGGCAGACTTCCTCACGGCCATCTTTCATTACTTGGCCTCCACTGTTACTCTTCTTGGAATGCCACTGTAGCGAGATGTTAACTACCTCGCCTGGTGTACAGGATGCCGTGGGTTCGATCCCGACTCTGACGCACGTATATTTGGAGTTTGCATGTTCTCCCTGTA